AACAAATAAAGAAAAGTTTTGAATTCGTATATAATATTATTTTATTGAAAAATGTATGATTGAAATGATGTCAAATCACTATTTAAAAATGTATTTTTCTGAAAAAATGTGGTTCAAACATAGCCTAACTTAATTTATCTTTCATCCGCATGTTTGGAAAGTAATTTTTTCACAATTAATTTTGATCAAACATATTTGTTTTTACACGTAACACAAGACTTCAATTATTAACATTCACCTGTTTTTCACACATTCCATAAACTCAACTTCTAGTAGCGTGCTAATAGTCACTTAAAGTTCTCTTTTTTAACTTTACCCCGATTGATTTTGTCAAAAAATTATTTTTTTAGTAGATTTATATAAAATTGAAAAAATATGCACTTAAAGAGTGATTGAAATTATAAATTTCATAAAATAATAAAATATACTACTACCTTTTTAAATACCTAATCATTTGTTACAAATAAATATAACTGGAGATTACAAAATTCCAAATATTTGAATATCATAGTGCAAAAATCAGATAGGAAAGTTTTTTATTCAATATTCAGGCATTGATTTAATTATTAATAATAAAATATATCAACCTATCCTAATTCAATTTCAAACTCATCCCAATACCATTTTCAAAAACCCTACTCTCTGTCTTCACTCCCTCCTCTCCCGTAACCCCGTCTCCATGTCTCAATCGCTAACAATCTGGCTTTCTCCGACGAGAAACACGCTGGAAGTGTGTATGTGGTTGGCGGCGCTGCAACGTCGCGAGGACTCTCCGATCGTCCCTACGATTGGTGACGCTAAATCGTCTTTGTATACCTTCTTCACGTTACCATTGAAGTTGAATCCTCTCTCTATACCCCCTTCTTACCATTGTTATCATTGAGAAGTGTTCGCTGCCGGACGATGCTCTGACATCGAGGATTGTTGAGAGTTCTCAGCAACGTCGCCGAGCGAAGCTGATTTCGATGGAGACGCTGCTGTGAACTGCAACTTTTAGTTTAGCAACGACAATCTAAGCGCCGTTGTGTGAGGCAAGAGGCCGGTACGGTTGTAGTAGTTTTATGTTGTTCTCCAGTGGCTTGTGATATGTTCTTCAGTGGCAATGTGATGTTTGTAGTGTAGTATTGTTGGTATGTTGATGGGGAGCAGGTGGCGACTGGTGGCTGACTTGGCTTGGTGCGGTGGCTGGTGGTTAGCGATAGTAGTTTTCATGTGGTTGTGATGGTTTTGTGGTGGGGATGGGTAGTGTTTGTAGTCAAGTATTGTGGTAGAATGGGATTGGGATAGGGTTTGGTAATGCGGTGGTGCGATGGTGTGATGTACGTGGCGATTGGGTGATGGTAATTTTTGATCAAGATTGGTGCTGGATTGGGCAATGGTGATAGGGGTGTTTGGAATCTATGACCATCTATTTCGGCGTCTATGGCCAACTATTTCATTGATTTGTGACTAAAAATTAGGTTTATAATTAAAAAATAATTTATGACCTATGTGATACATAAATAAAATGTGACTTGTAATTTAAATGATTTGTGATCTCGAAATAATCTATGACCTACAAAATTTTTTATCTGTGATCACGAAATAATATGTAACCAATTAATTTGACGATATGTAACCAGTAGGTAAATCTTGACCTATAATTATGAATTTATGACCATTAATCGTTTAACTGTGATTTTATTATCTTTATTTAATAAATATTTTTAATTAATTAATATACCTGAATTTTGAATTTTTATACTATTTACTTGATTTTTGAAATGATGTAAAGAATACACTTATGATTTTTCCCCAAAATATAATGCTATTATCATGGATTGAAATAAAACCCAAACAAACTAAGGAAGAAAAATAAATTTAAATTTATCCATTGTTCAATATAATATTACTAATTATATCGATACAACAATTTCCAATAGCCGGCGCACATTATAATTGAAATGAGTGTTTGGTAGCAATTTTTATGTAAAAATGCATTTTGGAATATTAAATTGATGAAAAATGTGTGTTTGAAAAATAAAGAATTTTTTTATTTACGTGTAATATTATTTTAATGAAGAATATGTGGTTGAAAAGAAGAAAGAGAATAATACATTTTGAAAAAAATGGGTACCAAACGGGGTTGAAGATCATAAACTTTTTTAATTGTTGAATTTATGTCTTCAACAATTTTACGTTTCATTTTTATCTTCGACATTTCATTAATTAGCACATCTCATCTCTAATTATGATTTTAATTATATATAAAAAAATTAATTGTCCTTATTCTTAAATAAGTTAAAAATAAATACAAAAGTGTGAATTTGTCCACTCATTTCAAAGCACGCCAGTAAAATATTTGAACTGAATTCGTAATAGGACAAAAAATACTAATTAATTTAAGAATAAAAAGATAAGAATATGATGAAAAACTCGAAGATATTAATGCCAAAATGTGAAAAATATTCATTACAATTAAAATGTAGTGTACTATAAAAGTTCGTAACGTGAATATAATTATTCCATTTAACCCTATATCAAACGAGTTAAGATTTGTTGTTCACCTAATTAATTACTAACATGTTATTTAAAATTAGTATGCCATCAATTTTAATTTCACTTTAACAGTTATTTACTTATTTAACACTATTAAATATTTTCTCTGTTCACACAAAATAATGTGTCAATAATTAATTAGATGATAGTAAAAATTAAACAACGAATCTCAATTCAGCAATATATATAATGTTAGTCTCCATGTAATGTTAGTTTATGCCGAAATAATGCAGTCTTCCAACAGAGAATTTTATCTCGTACACTCGTGGAGTCCTATGTTACTTGCAAATCATAATACTACATTCTTGCCGCATATCTCATAGTGGATTTCGCCAAGTGGACTCATTAGGCACCGTTAAACTTCTAATATTTGGATTGATTAGGCATCAATAAACAACACAGTATAGCTTTTCATTCAAGAGATGGAAAAACCAGTAAAGTTTTGTTCTCGATGAATCTATGGCCGACTATATATATATATATATTTTTATTTTATTTTATTTTATTTTTTGCTGCTATCAATGATTTAACGTCGTATAAACTTCACTGAGCCTTGTTTGAGCCCCATTTCATGGGAATTGATTTTATAAAATTTGTTTCTTTAGGAGTATTTATAATTAAAAAATATAAAAAAATTTTGAGTTTACGTGCATAATTGTTTATTGAAAGAATGCGCAATTAAAAATTAATTTGGAGAAAATTAAAGAATGATTTCAAACATAGGCTATTTCAGTTTCATCATTTAAAAAATCACCTTTTTCCCTATCAATCACACATTTTTCCTATGAAATCATTTTATACGTAAACCCAAAAATTTTCTAATTTTTTTTTTGTTTTTTGCATATTTTTAAAAAAATAACTATTACAACTATATTTTTCATAAAAAGAGCTCAAACAAATCTTATTGTATGTGGCTTTCTTCTACTTATTCAATTGAGATCACCTAAACATTTTATGTCCAGACAAAACATTTCACAATTATCCAAATCACGATTAAGCCCTTGTTTGAGCTACATTATGTCCCCATTTGGCTCCCAGTCTTTCCAAATTTTAATGGTTGAAATAATGTCTTTTTTGAAAAATGTGTAGTTGAAAAAGAATAAAAAATTTTTGATTTGCGAGTAATATTATTTTATGAAAAATTGTGTAGTAGAAAATAAAAGAGAAAAAGAATGAGAATGAGGGTCAAATGGGGGCTTTAATTCCTAAGAATGTATTTTTGAATAATGTATTGATAGAAAATGTGTGGTTAACAAATAAAGAAAAGTTTTGAATTCGTATATAATATTATTTTATTGAAAAATGTATGATTGAAATGATGTCAAATCACTATTTAAAAATGTATTTTTCTGAAAAAATGTGGTTCAAACATAGCCTAACTTAATTTATCTTTCATCCGCATGTTTGGAAAGTAATTTTTTCACAATTAATTTTGATCAAACATATTTGTTTTTACACGTAACACAAGACTTCAATTATTAACATTCACCTGTTTTTCACACATTCCATAAACTCAACTTCTAGTAGCGTGCTAATAGTCACTTAAAGTTCTCTTTTTTAACTTTACCCCGATTGATTTTGTCAAAAAATTATTTTTTTAGTAGATTTATATAAAATTGAAAAAATATGCACTTAAAGAGTGATTGAAATTATAAATTTCATAAAATAATAAAATATACTACTACCTCCGTCCCATTATATATGCTGACTTTTCTTACTTTTTTGTACCAATATATGGTCCTATTTCTTTATTGAAAATATTTTGTTTTGTTCGTTTACTAATATATACTCATTTAATTTGTCTAGTTATAATCAAATTTTCTCACTTAATATTGAAATTGTACAAATATAAAAATGGGTTGAATAAGAAATTTTTTGGCAAAAATTATTTTTTCAATAACATTAAATAAGATTTCTTAATCCATATAGCAAAATTCAATTTATATAAATGATATGAATGGAGTGTTAAAATTTGAGTAATGCTATTTAGTCCAATTGGGATTGCAATCCCAATTTAGGTGACATTAAATGATAAATTAAATAAAAAATGAAATTAAATGAGTTATTTAATTCTACTTATCAATTAATGTCAAATAACATTAATCTTAAATTTTTTATCATTTTTTTTAGAAGAACTAAATTGACCTCTCCAACGCCTTCAATAAATACGCACTATCAAGCCCCCTGAGGCATAGCCTAGTGATGCAAAGGACATGAGTGATGTTATCTTACGCCTTGTTGGCAGCCACCGTGTGGAGGTTCGATTCTTGAGACATGAAATTGGACTTCTTGTAGGTGCATTGTACAGACAGTTCTTGTTTTTTAGCCTGTTAAATCACATCCCGTGATTTACCTCCCTCACAAAATTTTAGGGACGGGACGGTAAAAACCCTCAAGGTTGGGTTCAACCTCTTTATAAATACGCACTACCAGGTTCATTTAAATATAGTATTTAGCCAAACCAATGCACTGCATTGAAGTCCCCGTTAAAGCACGGGATACCACCCCTTTATGTAAATGCAGAGAGAATTGAGAAGTAAATACCGGGTGTACAAATAATAGCAGAAGCCAGCATTTGGATCTTCCTCAGTGTAGATTTGTCCAATTTTTAAGAAATTCCCACTACCTACTTCGGCAAAAAAAAAAAAAAAAGAGCTGAAGAGAAGAAATGTTTGCCGCAGAAAATGGTTTAAGAGGAGACCCAAGATTGAAGGGTATTTCTGATGCAATTACAGTTGTTCCCCACTTCCCAAAACCAGGTATACTATTATTAAATATATGATAGATGTATGTGTATGATTTTCCCTTTTCTGGGTAGTGAACACGAACTTTTCTGGGCATTTTTTGATGTAATTATTCGAAGAAAATTTTGTGTAATAATGTAGTTGATATGTTTTATTTTTTTGGTTTCCAGGAATAATGTTCCAGGATATAACAACTTTGGTGTCGAATCCCAAAGCCTTCAAGGACACTATTGACATCTTCGTTGATCGTTACAGGGATATGGATATCTCTGTTGTTGCTGGTATAATTCTAACACCTTAACCTCTTATATCAAATGAAGTGGTTCGATGTGGTACTACAAATGTCTTGAGTTCAATGTTGATGCACTTATTTATAAAAATATTGTGCACGTACGTATGACGAGCATGTTGAGGACACCTAATTCGAATAAATAAGTTTGTCCTCTCTCTAACATTTCAAGCCAAATTTCACGTGATCCAAGATTATGCCTTTTTTCTTTTCCTTTTCTTTTTTTTTTGACTTTTTGGATGGTCTTTTTCATGACTTAAAACTAAAAGAGAAAAGGGAGTGTAGGCAAAAAGAGAACTTGAAATTTTACACATTGCTCATGTGAAGAGTTCTTGAATGTAACTGGTTGCCACATTTGATAAATCAAAATTATGTAACTTGCTGTATTGGTGTTTTTAATGCGAAAATTTGACTATTAATTCACGCTTGATCAGAGTGATAACTTCCATATTATCTCGTAGGAGTTGAAGCTAGAGGGTTTATGTTTGCTCCTGCAATTGCATTGGCAATTGGTGCAAAATTCATTCCTTTACGTAAACCTGGAAAGCTACCAGGTAAACTTTACCTTTTCAATATAAAGTCGGGTACAATTGTATGATTCTAAGCTTGATAATTAACTATCGATTCATAGCCCTTCTTATTAGGTCGAAGTTTTTATATTTTAAGGAACTAGAGAGCAATGGTTTGTTCTGTTTTGATTCTGATACCTTATACCTATGAATAACTAAAGGAGGAAAAGTGGAGGGTTGTAATTCTGACTGAAGAAGTTTTGTGAGAGCATACATTGTTAAGCTCAGAAGGAAATTAAATTCTTGTATCTTTTAATGTTTAAATTATTTCAGAAATATCAAGATCATACTTACATAACCAGAACCATTTTTTGCATCCCACTTTTCAAAATAACGAATTCATGTCCAGGTGAAGTTATTTCTGAAGCTTACGAGCTTGAATATGGTAAAGATCGTTTGGAGATGCATGTTGGGGCTGTTCAGCATGGAGAACGAGCATTAATAATTGATGATTTAGTGGCCACAGGAGGAACACTGTCTGCAGCCACAAGGCTTTTAGGTAAGATCCTGAAGTTGTTTCATTATCCCATTAAATTCTGCATGTGAAATATTACAGTAGCAGTGAGTTTTGGAAAAAAAAAAAAAGGATATTGTACTGAAATCCATAAAACCTCAGACATATTTAGCAAAAAAGGTAACCTAGAAATAACTTTTAAGCTTAGCCAAACATGCTTTGTACTCAGAACTGTGACAGATGATGATGTTCCTTTTGTTCTTCAGAACGAGTTGGTGCTGTGGTCGTTGAATGTGCATGTGTTATTGGATTGCCAGAGGTCAAGGTAATTCAACTTCTACTTCTCAAATTACCCCTCATTTTACGGAATAATCTACAAGTCATTGATCTGAAGTACTTCTCCTCTTCTATCTTTTCATGAAATTGATCTGATTTTCGCTTTCGAGTTTATCATCACACTGCAGCGTCCTCATTTGTTGCGGAACTATTCCCACTGGCATACGTTTCTTAGAAATAGTAATCTGTGAATCGTTTCAATACCATCCATACTTTCCTACGCTTCTCATTTTAATTTTCACGACATTAATTTATTCCTTGGACACCTAACTCACTGTAAATGTCCAAGTTACAGGGAGGCTTTTTTTGTTATCCTGATTGCAAGTGGTCAAAGTTTTACATTCTTATAACACGGACTTATAAGAGTTGGTGCATATATGTGCTGAACTATATCAACATTTTTGTTGCACTAGTTGAAGCTCCACCTCTCACCCCAGAGGCTTAGCTGGGGTAGGATGGTTGACGTCTTGCCGCTGTTTATTGGGCTTGATGAGTTGAGGTCAGGCCTCACCATTTGCGGTTTTCAAATTGAGCTAAGCAACTGGGGAAATGAGTTCACAATATTGGTATCCCTCATATGTTACTGCGGGCACTTTTTGCTACGCTTAACAAACTTAGTATATAAATAAGTTTTAATTAAAATAAATCTTTTCTAAAAGCATTATACCTGCTTGGCTGTATTGATTATTGCTAGGGAGCAACCGAAGCTGGGGATCAAATCCTAGGATAACATTTGTCTATCTAAACACTTCACTGCAGAAAAAAATGGAGGAAAGAGAAAGGAAAGGTTAAAAACTCATTGAGCTTACAAATTCCCCTAGTATATTGCTACTTCACAGCTAAACAATGTTATGTTTTGGAATCTTTTTCTACCTATTGTAGACCTAGATTTTATATATTTGTTCTAGTTTTCGGTTCATTAATCTCTATCTCTAACGATCCTTTCTGCAAATGCTTTCCGCAACGAAGTAGTTAATGTACCACATGGCACACGGGAACTTGATCTCCAAACTAAAACTGGTGATCTGAATTCCAACGTCTCGTCCCCTAGTTTAACGCATGCTAATCGAAATCAAAATTCACTGCAGGGATCTGACTAGAAAATTAAAATTTCACCCAAAATTTCGCATTTATAAAAACTTATGCAAGTTTTCCCTCATTCACACGCAAATTTGGATGGAAGATTACCCTTACAAGGCACTAATGTGTGTCAACAAGAGGAACCTACTTTCTTTCTATAACAAGGCAAATTGGTTGAATGCGTTATCTGCATTTTCTAAGCTAGCTGGCTTGTTATGATCCTCATTGTGGGTGATTATTTTATTTTTTGACTTGCCTTTATCGATATAAATTTTATGTTCTGTTCTCTCATTTTGCCCTGACATCCACCAGACAATTCTTATTGCAAATGTAGTTATTATACCTTTTTGGTGTCACTTACTTGGCTTGAATTCACTTGTTTAATCTTCTGTAGGGAAGGTGCAGATTGGATGGGAAACCACTATACATGTTGGTGGAACCTCGGAAAATAGAAAATTACACTCTGGTAAATTCTACATCTTTCTATTTCCTTGAGTAATTGCACTACCAAAGTTATTAAATGTATTTGAGTTGATGATCTTTTTATTATTCCTGCTAATTAATTTTCGATCATTGCATACACCCCCCACATCGGACAGCAAACCAAGATAGAAGATCAAACACTTGCAATGTGTCCCTTTTATTTTAGTCATCTTGTTGTAGATTGGTTAAAATGGGTGCTACTTTTCTTTTAAAAACTACTATGCTTGCAAGTCTCAATGCAAGAAATTCTCTTTGCAACATTGAAGTCGAAACCTTCCCAACCATGAAGTAGTCTTAACTCTCAATTGTACACCTTGAAGCAAAATATCTCGTATATATTATTTGTCTGATGATCACTATGGAGAAAGCTCCTTGCTGGTCTGGAGTGATGAAATATTGTGCTCATGAACTATGAATGCTGAATGCTAATCCTACTCTGTTGAGTTATATTTCTTTGGGTGAGCTGGGACACACTGTATTCTTAAGTGAAAATTTTGCTTCAAATTTTCAATCTATTGGCCAAGTAGCAAGTTGGTTCCTGACCTTGCCTAAGCTGGGAAACAAAACCTAGCTTCAGAAAGTTGGATTTGTACAGCCCACATGATGATTTAATGGAATATTTGGACTTTAGAGACTGACTGTACAAAAATATTTAAAGGTTGAGGACCAACTTGCTGGTGGATAAAATGTGTGATATCTTCCTGTATAAAGTTTCCTTTGACACTTATGTCTCATTCTCGACTCTGTTTCTAGCTGCAGCAGCGTTGTTTCGTGGATTCTGGTTAATTAGATGGCGAAATTGCTCTTACCATCAAACATCCCAAGCAATATGAGTTGGTGTAAATCTCGAAGCATGAAAGCTTACCTACCGTGCATATTTCCCCTGCAACTGAACAGAAGTTACGCGGCCCCATACGTTGTAGCTGGCTCAGTGGAAATAAGGTGTTGGCCCTTAGGTTTCCTTTCTGTATCTTCTCATTCCTTTGGATTAGTTTTGTAGAATATTTGATGTGCAACCCAATTCAAGTTTCCTGTGTGTTTATCATTTTTAGAACACAGCGTTTTACCGTTCCAACAATCAAAACGTGAGAAAAAATGAAAGTTCAGTGACTAATAAAGAACAAAAGAAAAAGTTTAGTGACCAGAGTGAATTAGTGAAGTAATGACATAACTTTTGAGAAAAAGTTTGAATTTGCGAACCGATATTAGGATCTGAATGTGCTAAATTGAAGATGGGTACTAAAATTATAAGAAAATTGAAGTTGATTAATCTGATTGCATACCATTATGAACACTTCGGCTCAAAAGTAAGGAAACAAAAATCTACAATGGCACATCCCTTCCTTTTTAAAATCTCCGTTCGGGGAACTATTTGATGACGTCGTTTTTTGTAAGGGTGACGTGGACAACAGATGTCAATTCTACTTGCATTCACGCATGCAAATTTCAAAACATTTGACCAAAGACTTGATCAGAGGAGGTCGTCGTATATGGACGTGAGAGATGCTATATGGCGTGAGACAAAAATGTTTAGATACCTACAGTATATTTATGGACAATTGTATTATAACAATAAGGAAAAATTGCAGTCAAGGTACCAAATCTTTCGTTTATTAGCAGACTTTGTTCAAATCTTTCATTTGTGCCACCGTAGGTACCAAACCTTTACAAAATTCGCAGTTCAAGTCCAGATTGACAGTTTCCGTCAGTTTGACCCCAAAAAACCATCAGTTGACCTCAAAAATTAAAAATCTAATAATTTGGACAAAGTAAGGCAAAGGGTAAAAATGTAACTTTATAATTTTAATGAAAAAAATTTTAAAAGGAAAATAAAAGAGCCCATCTCCTTCTTTTATCTTCCCCAATCCCTTTACCCCAGAAAATCTGGAAAAAAAAATCAGATTATAGTGATGCAAACAATTACTTGGGCAAGGATTTGTTCTGCAGGAAGAAAAGCATTTGCCTCTGAAACTTGTTTACAGCTTTCTTGTGATATCCTACAAATCTATCAAGTTTCCATAATGTTTCATTGTGTAGAATTTCAATATTAAACTCAATCTCATCTCCTTCCTGTAGCAAATTTGAAGTCCTCTTTTCACAATTTCAATCATTTGTCCAATTTCTCAGAAGGCAACTTCTGCAACAATGGCCCCAATTTTTGCTTTCTCCTCATTTCATGCTCATACAACATTTAGATTCAGGAATTGAACCCAAAGAAACCCTAATAAATCATTCAAAGGAAGTACACAAAACTGTTATCAAGGTCAAGAAAATCTATAAGCACCTAACAAGAAAAGAAAATTGGACCTTCAACTAAAATCTGAAGATTGTACCACCCGCACAGTACATTGCTCAAACATTCATACCCAATTTATCAAAAATACCCAAAATTCAAGAATACACACAAGCATAAAGAAATTCAAGAAAACTCTAATAAATCATTCAAAGAAGTGCTTGGGGGCGCTGCAACCACGGTGGTGTCGGGGGCTAGCAATTTGGTGGAGGTGGTTTTGATTTTGGAGAAAGGGAATTGGACGAAGGAGATGGGGTTTTCCTTTTTAAATAATTTTTACTTATTTTTTATATTAAAATTATAAAGTTACATTTTTACCCTTGTTTTACTAGGTCAAAATTATTAGTTTTTTAATTTTTGAGGTCAACTGACGATTTTTTGGGTCAAACTGACGGAAACTGTCAATCTCGACTTGAACTGCGAATTTTGTAAAAGTTTGGTACCTACGGTGACACAAATGAAAGGTTTGAACAAAGTCTGCTAATAAACGAAAAAATATGGTACCTTGGCTACAATTTTCCCTACTAATAACTCAAATAAATCAGTATAATCTAAACTCCAGTAAACAAGATTGTGAAATAAGCAAGAGAGGACAAATTGTAGCTTTAAGTATAAAAAGTCGCATTAGTGTTCAAACGATACAAGGATGAGGTATTTATAGCATTGCATCTGAAATGGTATCTATTGAATGAGGGGTACGTGGTTTCAACTCCTTAATTGAAGTATTTTATCCTAGACATCAGTTTAACCTCATTAGCATGTGGCGCAGTTAATGTTGGAACATATAGTATCATCCATGATGACAAGACTTTAACATTTCTCTTGTTAATTATTACAAAAGTAAAATCAATTAGAGGAAATTTCACAGGATGTTCATTTTCACCTAATCATTTGCAAAAATGTCCACCATTGCAAAAATGTCTATTTTGGAAGAATTTAGACCAAAATATTCTTATTAACAATTTATAATTCTACACTAAGACAAAAAAAATGGACATTTTTGCAAAATTGTTATTGGCTAATAAAATTTTGACACATAACCTGTCTTATTTATTTCAAAAGCATACATGTCAAATCACAATAATGCTATGTTTTTCATTAACTCAGAAATGTCGAGAACTACATTTCAAATGTAAAGAAATGTCATATTCAAAATGAAATGTCAATCTAAACAAATGAAACGGTGTTCAAATGTCGAGAATGACATATGAAATATCGAGAAACATTATTTTAATATAACTTCTCATGAAAGATACTTCTCGAAATTCGTGATAAATTGGAAAAAAAATCAAATGTCGAAAATGACATTCAATTGCTCCATTTTTTCATTGGGGCATGATAGACAAATTGACACTAAATTCAAATAAGTGGACAATTTTTAATTCAAACCTTTAAAATTGGAAATTCTTAAAAATGCCTCAATCAATTATTTCAATTAGATTTCATTAAGGATCTTCAAATGAAGATCATCACTTGTCACAATGGAGATTCGAATTCAACTTTGAGCCTCGCTATTTTAGTTAGGACTTCGAGGCATTTTACTTTCACATGGAAACGCTTCAGTAAAAGTGGGTTTTGACAACAATTAATCTATTTGTACAAAATTTGTTGACAAAATAGATATTGACAAAATCTAAACCGTCAATTTGTTTTGATTGAAAAATAAGGGATATAGATTTTGTCAACTCGAATTTTATCTACTTCCTTTGTCAACGCCTTTGTACACGTATCATTACTCTTTTGACAGAGATCTACAAAATGCTGGGGCTCAGAAATGTAATATTCATGTGGGCCCATCAACACTTATTGTCCACGCGTATCTTCATCGCGAGTTAAACCGCCTAGATCAACACAACCAGTATAAATATCCATTAGAACCTAGAAACTATCCATCCAAAGCGAAGCGAAGGAGAAAAAAGTGTTCCTTAAGAAAAGCTTGGAATTTCGAAGGCACCGTGCAAACCCTAACCCTAATTCCTTATTTGTTCATTTGATTTAATTCAGTCAGCAAAGAAGAGAACTGGAAAGAGGGATTTGTTAATTTATTCATCTGTATCAGATTTGAATACTTTGAATAATGTCTGCAATAGTGTGCGGGAAGAGATCTTTCTTCGAAGAGATACTAACAACGTCATCGCCGGTGTTGGGATCACCGCCGGTTTCCAAGAAACGTCGCTGCTCTTCCACCACCTCCCCGGTTCAGTTCTCCTACTCGCCGCCGAGGAGTCTTTTCGATGAATTCAAGGCTTCGTTTCCTGATATGGATAGTGAGGTTAGTTCACCCTTTATTAATTTTTGTTCTCCCAGTTTTTGCGCATTTTCTTTAGGATTTTATTGTGGTTATGGGGTGACACGGGATATTTTTTTCTTGTGTATTCTAGATTGACAAAAAAAGTTTGAATTTTATTAGATTAAAATTACCATACAATTTGCAGCTATTCAGTGCCTTTTGTAATTGTTTTTCGGGTTTTTGATAATGTTGGAATCAAGCTTTTGTATGTTGTTGAACTCCTATATTGATGGTGATGAATTATACATAATTATGATGTAATAAGCAGATAAAACAAACATCTATAGAGAAATGAATAAATCGAAGATGGAAATCTAAGGACAACTTCTCTCGAGTTAACTATATATATGTGTTACTGCAAAAGGATATTGACTTGCTGGGTTTTAACCTTTTGATTTTCTTAACATATATATTCAGAACACCCTTTAACATCCGCTTCGTTATTTCTGCTATTCTGCTTGAAATACATACCTTATCGTTCCGCTTCTTTATGTTTCTTACCTTAGAAAGTTCTGATAACCATAAAACAACCAATAACTTCTGAGTATAACTAAATTGTTTTGCAGCTCCTTGAGAAAGTTTTGGAAGAATCTGGCAATAATTTACATGCTGCTATCAAGAGCCTGCAGGGGCTTCGTCTTGGATATGCAGAAGGTGCAGAGGACAACTCGAGTTTCGCTGAGGATGTAAATGCAGGCATGGAGAAAGGCACGTATTTATATTGCGTGGACCGAATAATAGGCAGTAACTGGAAAGGGTTGAGTTCACCCTGCCCACATGTTATTTATTTTATAATTTTGTTTCATTTTACTCCTTTCCTGAAATTTTTTGAACTACATGTATGTAATAGATTTTTCTGTACATTTATTATATTTATCTCTTTGCTTATATGTGGTAGCGTTCTATGTGTAATAATACAGATATATAATAATGCATTATCACAAAATGTACTCTGATGCATATTTTATTGCGTAGTTCATGTTCATAGCAATAATTTACATGCTGCTATCAAGAGCCTGCAGGGGCTTCGTCTTGGATATGCAGAAGGTGCAGAGGACAACTCGAGTTTCGCTGAGGATGTAAATGCAGGCATGGAGAAAGGCACGTATTTATATTGCGTGGACCGAATAATAGGCAGTAACTGGAAAGGGTTGAGTTCACCCTGCCCACATGTTATTTATTTTATAATTTTGTTTCATTTTACTCCTTTCCTGAAATTTTTTGAACTACATGTATGTAATAGATTTTTCTGTACATTTATTATATTTATCTCTTTGCTTATATGTGGTAGCGTTCTATGTGTAATAATACAGATATATAATAATGCATTATCACAAAATGTACTCTGATGCATATTTTATTGCGTAGTTCATGTTCATAGGGTTTACCTATTTATAGGCTTGGCTTATTCCTGCCCAACTAATAGTAGATTTAAAGTATAGATCTCCACAATTACAAAAGAGAGGACTCTAGATGAAACTGGAAATCTAATACAGGCTGTTCAGATTATCAACATGACAAAGTGCCACCTAATAACGTTCGGTGAGATCACCAATGAGAGTGTGTTAGTGTCCAAAAAAAGGTCCTGGGTACCTATTCAAAAATAAACATTTTATTTATTCAGAAAATTTATTAAGATACATTTTAGCGTGTCATATAAGAAAGAAATGTTTAATAGTGAGATGGTGGTTATCTATCTAATCACTGTGACTTCGTCATTTCTTGTCTATAAATGTGCTTTTCCTATTATCTATATCATCCTGGTGGGATGGTGGTTAGATATGTCTATGATTTCTATGCTTTAGTTGGTCTTCCCTCTTTTCCCTCTCGCATAAAACCATTTCGTAGCAGTTTTATACTTACAAATAGGTAAAAATATGTGACATTTTCATTGATTATGGGCATTATTATTGACATGTTTGTTTACATCTTGAGTTTTCACTCTCAAGGCTTTTCAATACCTATTTAAAACATTTGATCACATACTCCATATAAAATTGACAGGTTCGACACCATGTGTCGGAGATGCAGTTCTTTTGGAGGACTCTCAAGTCCAGAACAATCTACCTATGGATGGTGCAGAATGGATTGAGTTGTTTGTGAAGGAGATGATGAGTGCCACTAGCATAGATGATGCTAGATTCCGCACAACAAGACTGTTGGAAGGTTTGGATAAATCCATCAGTTCTAGAATTGGTTCTGAAGCTGCTCAAAATTTTCAGAAGGTTACTATTTCCAAGTTCACACCTATTTTTCTTTTAGATCATTAAAGCTGCAAAATGGTTGTGTAACTGTTGATCAGAAATAGTTTTGTTGGCCAACCCATTTAAGGGAACAGGGTTTTCTGCGGGTGTTAACATATAACCATTAGTGATTTGTTTGATAGGGAGGATTTGATGGTATTATGATAGTATTGTGAAATAATATCAAGGAAGAAAAAGAATTTAAAATTTTGTTTATATTTTCAAGTCCTATCCAATGTTGTGTACCAAGAATGCATTAGATTCCACCTTGGGCTGGCTTCTTAATCCTATAGATGGATACAATAGGTGTTATTGTTTGGAAATATTTATTTGCATCTTTATATTTTTTTGAATATAATTTGGTAGTAAAAACAAGCCAATGTTGCTTGCTATTTATTGCAAGAATTGCTTCTTTATTTTAGGCCTACTCCGCTGAGTCCTGCCTCATGTTATTGAGCCCCGGTTTGGTTTAGATAAAAATCAGATTTTTAGTAGATTTTGATAAAAGTTGATGAAATGTGTGATTGAAAAGTTGTGGATCCTATGAGATGGGTGGTTGAAATTAATTATTGATTTCGACTTAGATTTTAATTCACTTTTTAGTTGAACCAAAAAGGGGATAATTAAATATTTTTCGTGCAAACCAGGAAAACATGATGCTGAAGGAACAAATTGAGGCACTTCTTCGGGACAATGCCATTCTCAAACGTGCTGTTTCCATCCAGCATGAACGTCAAAAAGAGTACGATGAGAGTAACCAAGAGGTGCAGCAATTGAAGCAGTTGGTGGCTCAATATCAGGAGCAGTTGAGAACTCTTGAGGTAAATACTAGAACTTCATAAATTTATTTAGGGACAAGTTAAGAGCATGTCGTGCTTAGCCCTAAAAAAGAAGTAAACTTGCTCTAGTAGAAGTAAGGAAACGCTTTTGAAAAAGTAACATTTTGTACTATAATTTCTAAAAAATGGTCACTTTGAAAGAAAAACAAAACCGTTTGGGAGAATAAAGTTAAAAAGTAAATTGAACCTTGGGCTATAAAAAATATGTACCCTTTTACTTCTTTTTCATTAAGGATTTGGCAACCATTATGTGAATAACTGATTTTGATTTCTTGCAGGTGAACAACTATGCCTTGATATTGCATTTGCGTCAGGCTCAACCGAGCAACTCCATCCCGGGACGTTTTCATCCAGATGTATTTTAATAAAGAACGAAATTTAGCTACATAAGCATATCTGTTTAGTCTCATAAAGGGTGTTCTCATGAAGCATTGTAAGCTGATACTGTTCATCATCGTAAGCAAAATTTAATAACTCTGATTCCGTCAAAAAGTTGTTGGAGATATTAGTTCGCCTTCGAGTTTTGTGCTTATGTATTTTGTAGTGTTTGGATTCTCAATGGATGAGTTGAGCATCGGGTGGGTTGATTTGGTTATTTTGATACTCAGAATCGACAATTATATATATATATATTAGTCAGTAATAACTAATTTGGTACTGTAAATTTGTTACTTGTTGTGTAGGGTCATTTGGTTAAGGTGAATAAATTATAAAAAAAATTTAAAATTCTGAAAACTTATGAATTTGGATCTAGAGTTGAGTATTAGTTCAAGAATCAAAGAGTGTTGAGGACTAGATCAATTTTTGGTTCTCAAATTTTTAATAGGATTGGAAATTTGGGTTTCAATTTAGATTTGAATTCTATTTAGATTCAAAAAATTTGATTCCGATTATAATGCTTAACCTAATTTTATTGATGCATACTCTTTAATTGGAAAATAAATAGCTTTGATTATAACTCTCCAATGGAGCCCCAAGTCTTACAAAATTGAAATATTGGTGAGTTTGGCAAATTATTAAAAAAAAAAAAAGGTTAAAGACAAAAAAAAAAGGAAGAATAAGTTAAAGACAAACTTGCTCCATATTTAGGTTTTGTTTGACCCACTTTTTTTTCGAAAAAATACATTCTTAAATAATGATTTGATATTATTTCAATAAAATAATATTATATATAAATTTAAATTTTTTTTTTATTTTTTAATTACAAATTTTTAATCAATATATTATTTAAAAATACATTATTACGAAAATAATGCAACCCAACGGCATAATAGATTGCTCCCTCGCACCAAATTTGAATTCAGTTATAACTCCTTTAATTAAGCTCACAGCTCTCGTCACCGCCAGCTAAACCTTAATTCAAGCCTCCAATCCCAATCCCTAACCGAACCTCCATCCAATTGCAATCAGCATCCTCAATTCTAAGTTTTCGAATAATAATTATCAATCTAGATCCAAGATGGTTCTTGCGCAACTAGGGGGAAGCACATACCGTGCTATGCAGCAGATGAACAATGCGACGATCGTCGATCAAAAAGCGTTGAACGACTGTCTGAACGATATTGCAACCTTCAGGCCGATGTCCAGGTCAAGCTCATCAGCGATATGCGGATTAATATTAAATGAATTGTTAATTTCGATGACCTTGCGGACTGTCTCAACAAGCGCAAAATTATCCAACAGGTACACGGCTATAAACCTGATCTTGATTTGACTTCCCTATGCACAAAAATGTAAAACAAAAAGAACACAGAATTTTCTACCTTTTGCGTGGAAGTGAACGGAGGAAATCAGGACAATAAATATGGAATCATGGAATGATTCATCTGTACTCTGTAGCAGCTAACTTGTTCTCCAACCTACTAGTAACAGATTTAAAAGAAGTTCCCAGATCAGCCATCTCCAAATCCAACTTTTTCAGGTGCTCGTCCACAACCTTTGCTCCAGTGTCCATGGTTTGTAATGGCCCAGTGTTTCACGCCTGCTTTGATACCAATTTGTCACGAGCTGAACCCCACCTCGCAACTTCACACTTGCACAGATCAAATAATGGAAATCTTACCAGCTGAACCAGTTAAAATTATAACCAAATTAAGAGAAATAGAATGGGGAAAGGGATAAATGGAAAATAATAAGAAATGGCCGCATGCGGAGCATCACCAACTATGAGAAATCCACCAATCCACATGGGGAGAGAATGGCAGATTACACCGATGCCTCCTCTCTCGCACGTGGGCTGTATATATATATATACACCCCCTGTTACAAGGTGAAAGTCGAATTTTCCTAGTTCAAAATGATAAAAATCGTGTGTTCAACCTATTACAACTCATTTAAGTAAAACGACACCGTTTAATTAAACAAACCGATGCCACTTCTAATTCGGATTCTTATTACTACTGTTGACTCCTCCTTCCTCTTCTTCTGGTTTGCTTCTTAAATAACAGTGGGTAGAATTGCGAATATTTATGAATTAGGCCTTAATCTAGACTTAGTTACTATCGCCAGTAAATATATATTATGACACATGAGGGAAATACTTCTGTACTTCTTACATATTTTGAGTATCTCTTTTGTTCTTGTAGATGAACCCCATAACATTGTTTTTTATTATTTTGTCAACAATGAAACCCCCTTGGATTGTCAACCTACTGTATCATCTACTTTGGACTGATTAGTTGGACCGATTAGTGGAGTTCTTGGATTCAATGTCTATGTCTGCTTAGTTGTAATTTGAACAAACGATGATGTGTATTGAACTAGCCAAACTCATTAACTCTTGAAGAAACACCTGTTTACCTTTTGATTTGTAGGGTGTATTTATTTGGTTTAACTTCTGCAGGAATCTAGGTTTCAAGCACCCATCGGATATTCTCCTCTTTGATGTCGTTTTGTTACGCATATTTGTTTTTGTCATTTTCTGATTTTTATTAGGTGATGGCTCACAATCGGTGTACATATATTGTGTATACTTGGCATTCCCTCCATTTTAGGATAAGTCTTTTGGTTTTCTCTTGTTATAACTGCATATTTTCGGTTATATTTTGGATGAATATACTACTAGCATCTAATGAAATTAAGCTGTCTGGGTTTCTTTTATTCTACTTCTACGTTTTTAAAGAAGTTTCTTCCCTCCTTTAGGCTATATTTAACGAGATCTGCAAGATTTTGGATCCACGGAAACCTTCATTTACACCAATGAAAGGGAAACCAAGTGTTGTTATGTTTCTAGGTTTGCAAGGTATATTAATGTCCTTGAAAGAGTGTATATTTTCCACATGTTTTGGCAACTTAGTTTATTCTTATTTTGCTGGGAAGTCTATGATATGGTTCAATGTCACTACAGATATTTCTAGCATTTATAGTTTACTATTGTGAATAAATTAAGAGCTTGTTTGGTGCAGATTTTTAGACAATTAAAATCAATTTTTTGACCATTATTTTACTATTTCAGCCGTCATTTTTTGAATTTTTCTTTCACAGGTAGGACTCATTTTATCTTCAATGATCAAAAAATCAATTATCAAAATTCTTACCAAACGAGCACTAACTCTCAAGTGCTTTTGTCTCATTTTCAAAAATTGATGTTCTTATTTGCCTATATTAAATATAGGGTCTGGAAAAATGACATGTACAAAATATGCATACTACCACAGTACCACCACAAGAAGGGCTGGAAACCAGCCCTTGTTTGTGCTGATACATTCGAGCAGGTGCTTTTGACCAGTTGAAACAGAATGCAACTAAAGCTAAAATTCCATTATATGGAAGGTAACATTTTTTCCAGATCTTTAAATGGCTATATTTCTTCCTTAAACTTACAAAATTTATGTGTTGTTATAATATGGTGCTTGAGATGCATAAATTGTGATCTCAGTGACGAAAGTTCCATGGCTATCCCTGTCAGAGAGGAAGAACATGATTTATTATTTTCAGTGCTTGAATCACTTACAAAGTAAAAGACAGGAAGTGCCGTTTCATTCCTTGAACACAAGGAGAAACAAAATCCTTGCTAAACAGGCCATGTTTGATCTACATTATTTCAAAAAAATACATTCTTATACAGTGATTTGACATTATTTCACCACACATTCTTCAATAAAATAATATTACACGTAAACCCAATACTTTTCTTTATTTTTTAACTACACATTTTCCATCAATATACTATTCAAAAATGCATTCTAAGAAAAATAATGTGGCTCAAACAAGGGCACAATTTCAAAGCCATAACACTATTTACAATTAAGCCCCTGTTTGACAGCCGATAAAAATAGTTTTTTGAGGAAAATGAGTTTTTAAATAGTGATTTTTTTGGAGAATGTTTGAATTGGCCTATCAAAATGGAAAAATAAAAAAATTGGAGAACGTGTGGTTGAAAAACAGAAAAAGTTTTAAGTTAACATGTAAAATATTTTATTGTGAGAATCTGTAGTTGAAATAAGTTTGAGAAAAAAATAGTTTTGTTTTAATGGTTGTCAAATAGTGGCTAAGTAGTGTAGATTTTTGTTTGAAGATCAATGATGGGTAGAAAATCAGGATAATATGATTCATGACTAAGATTCACTCATAGTTTCCTTTGATTTGTATACAATAAGGTCATTATTTGAATAAATAATTTTCATTTTTCTTAATGGTTATTTTATAATGTCATAGAATGGTACAATGAAGGGTGGTAGACTGGAAGTAGTTAGAGAAATGATTCCACATTACATTGTGGAATGTATATTTGTTATCCTCTTGAAAGATTTATCCTTCTGAAAGAATGGATTATGCCTGCACTCTCTTTTTCCCCTTCTTATGAGGCTTATTCATTACTAAACTTGTATTTTTTTACACACACAAAAAATACAAGTTGTGACTGATATACTGGATTTTAGTTGGTTATAGGTGGATCTGAATTACTGTAAGAGTAACAAGTAACATATCTACATCTGAATTATACCTTTAGATGTCATATATGGTCGTTCTTTCCAGCTTTAGTTGCCTCTTCCTCAGATTATGCATACTGTTTCATTATACATCTAATGGAAATCTTGTGCTATAATGTGGAAAATGTGTTGTTATATTTTGAATTTTTTTTATGACTGAAACTTAATTGCGAATTCTGCTAGTGGATGCTTTTTTGTTTTTATTTGTGGATTGAGCTGTTTGATTTTGACATTTTGTTAAATATAAGAGCCTGCTTTGTTTGTGTTCTTTAGTTTTTCCGTTTAATTACTTTGTAATCGCTACACAGAGTCAGATCCTGTGAGAATTGCAGTTGAAGGTGTTGAAAGATTCTAGAAAGAAAATTGTGACCTCATAATTGTTAATACCAGTGGTTGCCACAAACAAGAAGCCGCTCTGTTTGAAGAGATGCGTCAAGTTTCTGAAGCGACGGTATGTTTTTGCTGTGTTATTCCTCTCTTCTCAGTTCTGGGTTGTACTTCAATTACTAATCTCCTAATTTCAATCCTTCAGAAACCAGATCTAGTTATATTTGTTTTGGATAGAAGTATTGGTCAAGCTGCTTTTGATCAAGCTCAAGCATTCAAGCAAAGCATTGCAGTTGGAGCTGTGATTGTTACTAAAATGGATGGTCATGCGAAGGGAGGTGGTGCTCTTAGTGCGTAAGATTCATTGCAAACTCTAATTTATCCTACGAATTAAAATGTGGTTTTTTATGGGTTTTAAGTGGCGAACAATCTTGTCGTAGGGTTGCCTAATTTCATGCTTAAAGTGATTGTATACCTCCCGTGTACTCTCTTTTAAGGAA